ACCCACCGGGCGACGGGCGCGCATGCGCTGCCGCCTGCCTGCGGCGCACTCACCCTGCGCGCCTGCCCCGGCCCGCGCGTGCTGGCCGCAGTGGTGGACAACCTGCCCGCTGTGCCTGCTGAGAAGTACGACAAGCTGACCGCTATCCTGACCAAGATCTTTGGCGGCAGCGGGCGCATCCGCGAGGGCGGCCTGTTCCACCCGCAGGACGAGGCCACCAAGCGCAGCAAGGGCTATGCTTTTGTGGAGTATGAGAACGCGGAGCAGGCGCGGGCCGCGCAGGTGGGTGCCGCGCCCGGGGGGGCCGGGGGTTGGGCCGCGAGCGGGTGCTTGCTTTCGGTTCGGAAGGGGACGGGAATCGCCGGATGGAGCACGACAGGCGGGCCGCGCGGCCGGCTCCGGGCCTGAGGCAGCCAGCCCCACCCCGCCCGGCCCCCTTCTCCTCTGCTCACCACCCGCTCCCTCGCCTCCTCCCTGCCCTGCCTTGAACCCCTGCCCCCTGCCCCCTGCCCCCCGGCCTCGCCCCCTCCTCCAGGCCGCCCTCAACGGCTACCAGCTGGACAAGGCGCACAAGTTTGCGGCCACGCTGTTTGACGAGGCAGACCGGCTGGCCAAGGTGCCCGACGAGTATGGCGGCCCCGAGGAGCGCACGTATGCACCGGCTGAAAACCTGCTGGTGGGCTGGGAGGGGCGGGGTGGCGGTGTTTGCTCGGTGTGGCGTGGTGGTGGTCGCTGGAAGTGGCTGGTGTAGCGTGGCGTGGTGGCTGGTGGTGGCGGTGGTGGTCGGTGTGGTGCGGTGGCTGGTGGGTGCGGTGGCTTGGCGTGGTGCGGCGCGGATGCCGGTCGAGGCGTGCCGGCGGCGGGGGCTGCGGCTGGGGGCCAGCCGGGGGGTGGAAGGCTGCGCGGGAGTGGTGGGCGTCCCGGCTTGGCCTGGCCGCGCCCCTCCCACGCAGTGCTCTTGCATGCTGGCCGTGGGGCGCCAGCCGCCCGCCGCTGCCGCCGCCGCCACCAGCCAGCAGCAGCAGCAGCGATAGCGACCGGCCGCCGCCGCCGCGTGCAGGAGTGGCTGAGCGACAAGCGCGGGCGCGACCAGTTTGCCATCCGGTACGGCGACGAGACTGAGGTGTGCTGGAATGACGCGCCCAAGCAGCAGGAGGAGACGGTGTACAAGCGCAGCTTCTGGTCGGGTGCGCGGGGGGTACCGCCGCGTACCGCCGCGTACCGCCGTCGCTGGCGACGCCGCCTGATCCGTTGGGGGCGGCCTGGTCTCTCGCGGCCTGCGCCGGGGAGCTGAGCCGCGTGTGCCACCACCACAGAGAGCACACCCACAACACACACACGCACACACACACCCTGCGCCTGCCCCGCTCCCCGCTGCAGAGGCGTTTGTGGAGTGGAGCCCCCAGGGCAGCATGCTGGCCACTGTGCACCGGCAGGGCGTGGCCATGTGGGGGGGCGCCTCCTTTGGCCGCCTCATGCGCGTCAGGTGGGCCCGCAGGCGCTGACGCAGCAGCTGCTGGCGGGCGGCTGGCGCGTGGCTGGCGGGCGGCTGGCGGGAGCAGCGGGAGCAGGGGCAGGGGCAGCTTGCGGTAGCAGTGCGGTGCTGCAGATCTACGCACAGGCTGGGGCGCGGCTCCGGCGCCGCCGTGGAATCCCCTGCTCTCTCACCTTCTTCTGACACCCCCCAAAACCTGCTCGCTCCCGTCCCCGCGCGCCGCGCCGTCCCCCCCCCTCCCCGCGCCCTGCAGCCATCCCAACGTGCAGCGTCTGCTCATCTCTCCCTGCGAGCGATTCCTGCTGACCTTCAGCGAGTTCCCAGACGGCAGGGGGAGGCCGCATGTGAGCGCGATTGTGAAGGGGTGTGGCCGTGGTGGTGGTGGTGGCCGTGGTGGCGCCCCTGGGTCGTTTGCGCTGGCAGAGGGTCGGTGTGCCGCTGGCGGCGGCAGCCGCGGCACCCGCTCCGCTCCCCGGCTCCCCTCTCTCTGCCCCCCGACCCTCCTCCCTCCTCAG